CAATACAAACTTCGGTCAAAGGGCATCAGGAGCGGCAGAGTCGCTGGTATCACGGTGGTGAATGAGAGCATCGGTACCTATCCCTCAGACATCAATTCTTCGGATTGTACAAATACTCGCTCCTCATTTTCTTAATACTTCCCAAGAGAATTACACACTCCATCCTCTCATTCGCTTTACCTCCCGAGCCATCAATCCATCCTCGCTCTACGGTCACCATGAAGTTCATCATGGGCATCGCCACCGTCCTCCTGGTTTCGGCCTCAGTCGTTGCTATTCCAGCCAGCCCCATCGCCACCCCAAGCCCTCACCTCGAGCCAATGTGGCCAAAATGCATCAAGTTCTACAAAGCTACAGGCGGTGAGACGTGCGACTCCATCGCCTCCAAAAACAACATCACCAAAGCCGATGTCAAGGGCCTAAACCAGGCCATTGGCGGCCTCCGTGGATGCTCAATGAACAACATTTTCGAGGGTTACTGGTACTGTGTCAAGCCAGACGGCTGGTAATGATTCTGGCAAGGGGGATACAGAGTCTCGCATGATGGACAAACTTCACACGGGAGAAAGACGGAGGACTACCTAGGTGGCGGATCAAGCGAGGCTTCGTATAGTGACGAGCTACTTTGGCGTGGCGTTATCCTTGTTGCCAACAATTGCTAGTTACGGTCAACAATATCCACGAATCACCATCATCCGCTATAGTTACTCTCCCTGTGCAACTGTTCTTCTCCTTATTCGATTTCGGTTCTAATGGTGGCCTGAATCAACAATCGCTCGGAGAGTACTCTTCAGCGCTGTTGAGGATTGGGGTCAGCCGCTCGACTGATGCAGTCACTACAAACACTGGTCTCAACAAGAGTCTCGTGTTTGGCACTCGGCCCTTTACAGCCCTTGCCTACGTTCTCGCAATAAACGATGTTATGGAAGCCTTTATGACCGCAGGCCCACTGCTTATCATACAGGGTGCACATCTTCCTCGATCTTGACTCTCGACTCTGTGGCCTGCTACTTGTTCCCTCGTTCTCGTGGGTGATGGTCCTTGCTACCTTTGCCCGTCAGCATATTTATTTACTTCTATGCCCGCAATCTTGAGCTCAGAGGAATTTTTATACAAACTGGAAGATGTGTATTCGAGATGACTTGACTCTCTCAGACAGTTGTTGTCTCACACCGTGACTCTAGAGTCGGTTATATCGATGAATTGCTCTCTTGCCTTCTCGTGTACTCTGCTTCGGACTCTGAGGTCGCGGGCTGTCTAATAACAGCAGGAAGCCTAGGCGGAAAAGGCACTCCGAGATAGAGCTTCAAGGCATCGGATTCGCTGAGAAGAGGCTCAGAGGAGATTCTCTGACGAGGTAACAAAGCAACACAACAAACGTGTTGGGAATGGAAAGAAGAAATCAGCGAGTTTTGGCTAAATACCAGTGATGCTGGTTCTTGAATCGAATGTGGTAGTTTCAAGACAACTGAGGACTAAAAAGGATCAACAGGAAGTCAATATATGCCACTCTCGGCGAAGGAGAATATTTGACGTTTTCCGATGTGCAACCAATACCATGTGGTCCAGACCCCGTCGGACGCCTTGCCGCGTTCCGCGGTACTGGAAATGACGAATCGAGACGCAGGCAGCAAAGGAAGAGCAGAAGCCCTTCGGTATATCACATATCAGAATTCTGCAGGGTGACTTGATAGCTTGGACGGAGAGGGGGGAAAGGGGGAGGAGACCGGGAGTCGGGACTTGGTCTCTCTCGTCAGCTTCTTGGGGGGCATGCCACCGATGTCCGTCGTTCCCAGTGGGCCACAACCGACGTCACTTCGGCGAAGAACTACGGGATTGGTGGACCCTTGGATGTGTAACCTATCAAGCGGTCGGTTGTTGGGGTCCTTACCCGGCTGAGTGCAGAAGAATATTGTCTAAGGGTATGGTTTCACGAAAAGGCGGTGGGTAAGGGTACGGGCATCTTTGTCTTCTCTTGGCTGTAAGTTCATCGAGATTTATCTTGGACGCTCTACTATGCTACGCGCGCGCTCTTTATCTCTCAACTCCCCAAAGAGGAGAGTCTTTCTGGTAAGGATGAATGTGCGGACCAAGGCAGTGAGCAGTAAAGATTGCTGTCAAAAGGTGGGGGCGGACTGGGCTCCTGATGATGCTTAAAGACCCTAGATCCCTGTTGACTCCTCCGGGGTACCAGAAGCCCCCCCGTCCTGGCCCTATCACGCACTGTCACTCTTTGATATGTGATCTGCTCAGGGTGTCAAACGTCAAAAGTCACGTCGGTATTCTGTTCTGTTTGTTTCCAGCCGCAGGAAAAGGGGGAAGTAAGTATGTACCTCTGCAAATCTTGCAGCCTTCATGCGAGAGAGCGCCTCGGGATACGACCTTGAACACTTCCCCGAGGAAGTCCATGTTGCCGCGATGTTTAGTACGCTTGTAGCTTGCCAGTCGACGACCCCCTCCCCCCTTCAAGTTTTCTCGAAGAACCCCGCTACTGCGAGCTGCTGCGCGAATGGGCTGATGTGGATGGCCGTTTGCTTGCGCCATTTGTCAGACGCACATTCATAGACATGCATAGCAGCGCACGACAGGCTTCCTTCCGCAGCGAATAGTCTCTGGACCGAGAAAATCCCTCCGAGTGGAGAAAGGCCGACGCACTACTTCCTGCAGGGTCGCCAGAGGAAAGCCGGTTATTCATGTAAAGATGCTTCTTTGGACTCGATTCTTAGACGTAGGCACCCGGATTGGGTCCTTTCAGGTCACAGCTGTTCGGAGCAGTCATCGAGATGTCGGACCTCGTTGTCGGTTAAGAATACCCCCAACTTACAGCCTCCGAATTTTTTTTGAGAATATGAATTTCAAGGCCACGAGCCGTGATGATAACTTGCTTCGGCGCTCATTTTGCCGGTGACATTGGGAATTTCAATGTATATACGGCCTGTTCTTATGGAACACCAAGCGACAACAACGGGCAATGCGATGCCAATGGGCCGAAACACTTCAGAGAAAACCGCAACATGCTTCCGACTTACTCATAAGCTGCATGTAATAGTTTACAAAGCTACACTGATTTTTCATGCCTTTCCTGACGCAAGTCGGGAACGAGGCTTTGGAGAATACACGCCTCGGGCGAGGGATGATGATTTCATCGCACAGACTGGATTGGTGACGATGTCTGATAAAGACCTGTACGTTTCGACTCAAGGCATGATAGGGCTATTTATGAAGCGAGCTCCTTGGGCAGAAAACTGGTCAAGCCTTTTCTCTCGAACAGCCAATAAGGAGACACTAATTTTACTGCTGGCCATACCTTCTGTTGTATGCCAATCTTTAGTTATTTCATCTTTGGTAAATGAAACTCCAGATCAAATAATTCACTCATGGGCCGCGAGTTCGATAGTAGCCCAAAGTCCAGTGGTCATTTGGGGTCGTCAAACGCTGACTTGACCGCCCAACCCCCAACCTCACAGCTACATAAGTCGAAGAGAGCTGGAGATTGCAACAATGTTCGTCTATTCTTCCATGCGACGAAGGAATCGCCTCTTCTCATTCATGTGCTAGCTTGTATTTGTGTTATTGCTCCAGGATATCTGCTTAGAAGTTATTCGATGTCGCCCACTGCGTAGTCATATAACACCAGTGAGCCTGGGTGGCCACTCGCTCATACAGACTCATTCACCTAGTCATCTCGTTCGATAAGGATTTCGGTCGTGTTCTTAAGGATGCGCATTGTTGTATTCGGAAGACTTCCGTTGCATGAATTCAGGTTCACTCCGAGGTCGTTAATGGGTCGGATGTAGCTCAAACACTTCATCCCTTGAACCCCTGGTGTCGTCCCTTCCTACCCATCCTCACTAAGGTATGACTTGAGTTCGAAACGCCTTTTTGTACCGAGATCAGTCTTTTAAGAATAAGGTATTCACTTATGGATAATACCAAAGGTAGCAAGGGAGGTAACTTACTGCAGGAACGGATAGTGGTGAAATGGAAGGCACCATGGTCTTGCCTCGTCAAGAAGGACACGGTCAATGGGAAGGCACGAGCTGGTGGTTAGCTCTTTCCGCTTTCAAACCAAAAGCCTCATGCTGAAGAGGGCACTTTCCCGATGACCAAACCTAGGTCCCGCGACCAGTCCCTTCCTCTTTCTACCTACTATTCTATGCCAAGTCCCTTCCTAAATCTGGAAGTTGCCTCGTTTCGTTTCATTATCTCTTCCAACAAGTTACGGCCGAGACTCACAACCTTCTTCCACACCCACTCCTCTCCTTCTCACATATCCTTGCATCATAACCGGCGTCACTTCGTCATATCTCACTGGCTGCAACATCACTCTGTCGGTCTCCGTCTCGAAGTCCTCTACTTCCTTGCACTCACTTCAACCTGGGACAAACAACGCCAAGGCGGCGCAGGTGACAGAATGTGGTGCAGCGTGCCGAAAATCCTTTTGGGATTGTTGTCGATTCGGGTATGGACCGACGGTGTCGAAGCCTTCTCTTGGGGAGGTGTTGAAATGAGAGCAGACCACTCCAGGTCCGTGGAAGAGCATTTGATCAACCCCTCGGTTGTGGTTCACGACGCATCACGCTTGCCAAATGTCTACGCCGTCGCCATGAAGGAGCTCCAAGAACTCGAATCAGAACCTCTCTGCCATCGAATCGCTGCTCGGCTCCTGGTCAACAATTGCCAGCTGCTGGAGGGCAAAGACGACGCTACAGTTCTCACCGATAGCGGCAGACGAATCCGTGACTTTGTGGACTCCTATGCCGCCAGTCTTGCTATCTGTGATCTGGAGAGAGGCAGTTTTGTCATCCCGTCTGGATGTGCACTGTTCAGAGAACGTTCTCTAGCTCATCTACCGACCTCGAAAGTTGCTCACCTTCACGTCTCACCCCGGCAGATAGATTCGTGTCTCTCGGGATTAGCCAAGTCCGACTCTGCGTGGAATACCTGGGTGAGCTACCGTCACAAAGCTCTCAGATTCTGCGAAGCTGCTCGCGCAGACAATGACAAAGGTAACCATTCATCATCCTTACATAAAAAATCTTCTAACCTTGCTGCAGCCCAGAGCATTCGTCTGTATCAACGTCTCACCGAAGTCCTCTCCAAACTCTCCGAGGGTGTTGAACAAGAGCTTGAATCCCACCTACATGCGATCAACTTGAGAGCAGCCGAGACTACGGAGCAGCTCCGCCAAATGAACCCAGACATCGACCAGTTGCGAAACAGCTTACAAGACCTGGACAGATTTGTTTCTCAAGACGTGATGCAGATGGCGCAGGTAGGTTTACTAGATCCATTCCTGTACAGTGCGACTTGACTGACTGGAAAGGCATCAAAGTCTGCGATGCGAGGCGGCCTCGAGGATGCCCAGAACCTGCAACAGCTGCTGACTGTGCTGCTCAAAACGGTCCTTAGCAGCAACGCCGAGGTTGCAGCATCACATGAGCTGGCACTGACAAACTTCAAAGAACGAACTGGCAATGAGGTCGCGGTTGTCATGGCTGCGCTCGCAACAGCTGTAGCATCGTCTACATCCCTTCATGGCCAGTTGGTAAGCAAGCCAGGACTAACCGTTTGCTTTCTGGGCTGACATCAGATAGGAACTTTCACATATTCGAGCGATTGAACTAGCTGATCGGCAAGACAGTCTTGAGAAGGTTAGTGAAGACGGTCTTCTGGAAGAACCCAACGTGCAGCTGACTATCTTTAGGGATTGGAGAAACTCCTAGACATTACCGACGACATTTCCTCGAAATACGCATCACACTCTGAGATGCTTTCACACGTGAACCAGGTTTCAGAAGACCTGCTGGATACACTTGACAATATGGCAACGTCGACGTCAGAAGTTCGCGGTTCTTTCCATCGACCGGGTTGGACAAGTTGGGTGCCATATGTGGCGTGCCCAGCCGCGTCTTTGCTCATGGGATCTTACGGTCTTCCACCATCAGCAGTGAGAAACCTCGGACTAATTGCGCTCGGTATGGCTATGAAACATTACTTTGCAAGAAAAGGATACTGACTTTTATGTGCTCTACAGGCGAACTTGCTGGCTTCGTGGTAGCTTATGCCAAATATCTTTCGCCGGGTATCCTCGAGACCGATCGGCGTATATCTCCAATAGTTGGCGCCATGAACAAGACCTTCATCTCCACGGCGACCCCAAATCATCTCTCCAGAGATCTGCCGCTAGATATGCGCAATATCCGAGGATCGAAGACGACTTGAGAGATACTAATCGAGAGCGACAATCGACATGAATCTCCACATCGAAACACTTACAAAGTTTATGACATCTGGGCAAGGCGAAATTGTTTCTGGCGTTTGTGATTTCATCCTTCACCTGTCTTCTTGCTTTTCGTTGATATTTTGGGATGGGTTACTAGATTATGGTCTTTGCAATCGGTGGAAATTAGTACTGGGCAAACGGTTGCCTCTGACATCATTTCTCGCATATGAACTTAGCAAATCGCCTATTCGGGTACTATGCACTTTTAACCGGAGTTTAATCATTCTCATCCATTCATCTCCCCTTTTGCTATCTTGTGTGCCTATATCCCAGTGCAAGGCAGACTGACTGCGGGGAAGTGCATGAAGGCGTATTACTGTTTTTCCTCATAGCCTGACCCCGACCGCTAGCCAAACTTTGCCGTTGTCTCCAAACACCCGACCGTCTTGAAGCTGCGGGATTAACTCAAGACGAGACGAAGACAGCGGCGATGGCGGACAAGGTCAAGATCGCGCTCATTCAAATGCACCCTAAGGTCAGTAAGTCTAGGACTACCCCTCATCAAGAATGCTTAGCCCAGTCTAGCTCCCGCGCTTCCTTTTCATGCGCCATAGTTCACGAGGTTCCCTGCGGCTGCGGCGGGAGGACTTTTTGCCTATGAGCCGGGGTAAAAAAAAAACAGAGTTCTGATGAGCATCACAGGTCGTCGCGCCAGAGGAGAACTTCACCAAGGCAGAGGCTTACATCCGCACCGCCGTTTCTAAGGGCTGTTCGCTCGCCGTACTGCCCGAGTACCATCTTACATCATGGGTCCCCGATCACCCTCAGTTCGTATCCGCCTGCGCGCAGTCCTGGACGTACCTTGAGCGGTATCAGGCCCTGGCCAAGGAGCTAGGCGTGTCCATCGTGCCGGGGACCATTGTGGAGCCGGACGGTGAGGAGGGGGCAGACGACCTGGACCTTTTGAACGTTGCGTACTTTATCGGGCCCGACGGCGCCGTTCTGGGGCGGTATCAGAAGAAGAACCTGTGGCACAACGAGAGGCCGCACCTGACCAAGGGTCCCGAACCGCACGGCGCCTTTGATACGCCGCTGGGGAGGGCGGGCATGCTGGTGTGCTGGGACCTGGCGTTCCCCGAGGCGTTTAGGGAGCTCATCCGCGACGGGGCGAGGATAATTGTCTGTCCCGCCTTCTGGCTCGCCGACGAGTATAAGCGCGACAACGGGGCGGGGAACGGCGCGACCGAGGTGGTGAACCGGGACTCGGAGCGGGTGTTTCTGGAGAACGTTATGGTGACGAGGGCGTTTGAGAACACGGCGGCCGTGGTCCTCGTCAACGCGGGCGGGCCCGCTGGCGGAGGCGGGGTGGAGGTTCGGGAGGAGGGCGGGGCGAGGGTCCGGTATTGCGGCGTCAGTCAGGTTGCGATGCCTCTTGTCGGCGCACTCGGCAAGCTGGGCGCCGAGGAGGCGATGGAGATTGTCGAGGTCGATTTGGGGCTGTTGGATGTTGCTGAGGACGCGTACAAGGTGAGGGAGGACATGAGGAAGGAAGGGTGGCATTATGGGTACTCGATTGTGAAGGAATAAGCGACGATCTCAAGACGACAGTGTATGGTTCACAGGACACTTAATATAGAAAGACGGCAGAGATATCTTGACTCAGGGTATAGGTGGTCATGATGAATGATTTTGATTGCAAAGGTCTGGTGTCAATGGCACACTACTCGCTATCAATATGCCTGAGACTTGTAGGCGGATGAAAAGATAGACCCCGGCCGCTACTTTAGTTCATTGAGAGCTCTGGCTGGTCTCATCTAGATAAGCAAGAAACTTCCTTCTCTGCTCGATACGGGGCCGGGTATGTTTCGACTCCAGGTAATCCCAATATTTCCGGATCTTGGCCTCATCCGGGCCACCCTCTGAGCCGGCAGCATCGACACGTCTCAATCGTTTGTCGTCATTGATCGTCCATACTCCTTGCCAATTGTTGGGAAGGTCCTTGTGCTCCTTCAGGTACTTCACCAGACTTGTGGCTAACGGTGTGCATAGCGAAGTAGCCATCAGCGCCAAGACGATATCTTCGCGCGGGTAGCCAAACGAGACAAACCGGTCCATGAGGTTCTGGAGCTCGACGGTCTTATCTGTCGATTCTTGGGAGTCGGTCATGGTTTGATCTGTGGCATCGTTCGGAACTTCTCCTGTTTCTTCTTTTTCTTCCTCTTCCTCCTCCACCTCCTCCTCTCCTTCTCCCTCTTCGGCGGGCGACTCTTGAACTTGTGCAGGAGTGGGTGACTGGTTCCGGTCGACCCCTTCTCCTTTATCTCTCCCGAAGGACAAAGGCAAAGGGGTCACCGACTCTTCCTCGCCCAAAAGCTGTTGTGACGGCGAGATATCGAACTCGACACTGTCTTGCGATTTGTCAGGTGCGTTGAAGGCATCATCGAAGCCAAAGTCCTGCGTTTCGGGCTCCAAACGACGGGGCTTGCTAGCTGAATCATGTTCAGGCTCGTCTTCCTCTACGTCCATCTCTGCAGTCCCCTCAACTTGCTCCTCACTGGCCGTCCACTGTTTGACGCTAAGCGAGGGGCTGGGGCCAAGGTTGCCAAAGCTTGCGAGACCTAGCTTGTCGTCGGGAGTCGATGGGATCTCGTCGTCTGGGCCTAGGCGCTGTCGCTTTTTCCTGCTATTTGGTGTCGACGGAAAGCCAGACGTCTCGACAGCGATTGATTGCCTCTTTCTAGAAGCACTGGGAGTAACCGCTTGCTGCATCTGTAAAGATTCTAGAGGCACATCCGGTACAGCGTCTTCGTCCTCGGGCTGTGGAACCCCATCGTCCTCGGATTCTACGTCAGATTCGTCCAATATGCCGCTGGCGGCGAAGCCGGCGACGTGGTCTGCAAAGCATTGTTGTATCAACTGAGCATTTTCAACGTGGAAGCCCAGACTATCTGCAACTGCTGCCCAGTCGGTTTCGACTGCACCTTTCTGGTACTGGTCTCCAACAGCTTGCCATAATTGCCACAAGTCGATGGGCTGACCATTGATTTCGGGATTAGTTTGGGTGTCGATATGGTGGTACGTCCTGTAGCCCCAAAGTTGGTCGTAGAAATCCTGTCTCGTGACAGCTGGGGCTTCTTCGACTTTTGGCACTCGTGGCTGTTCCGCTTCGTATTTCTTTCTCGCGGGGCTTGCACCAGATAGAGCGACCTTTGGTGCAGAAGTCTCCGCGGCCTGGCTGTTAGATTCGTTTGGCCTCTCGTTCTGTGGGCGTTCCGTCTGCCGACTTGGCTCGCCACCGCTAGGAGCTGTGTCCGGTCGGGTCTTTCTGTTGACTGTAGAGGATTCTTTAGGTGAGGGTCCGCTCTCCTCGAGGCTTTCCTTAGAGCTCTCCCGAAGTCGCGGCTCCAATATCTGTGTCCAGTGCCGTTTCCACGCACCCTCTGAATGAGTGGAGTGCTACTCGGGTTCAGCCTAGAGCCATCATCATTACGGTGGAAATCAGACGTACCTTTTCTGAGAATCTCTTGAAGAATTTGGTGTCGGGTGTACCGCCAAATCTGCCTGCCTCGCGTATCAGCAAGTCGTCTTCTGCCTCTGTGAATTTGGCTCTCTTCGCTGGAGTCGATGGCGCTTTGACGGCTGGCTGATGGGCGGCGGAGGTCGGTTTCACCGCTGTCTTCACCGCTGCCTTCGCCGGAGGCAATTGCGAGACAGTTTGGGTAGCTGGAGGAGGCGCCTTCTTTACTGCTGGTCGCGTAGCTCCAGATCGCTTAGAAGAAGTCGCGGCTGCCGGTGGTGGCGGCAATGCGATATCAGGAGCATTAGCTGCCAGCTTCTCAAGCTCAGTCGGAGGCAATTTCGATAGCTTCTTGATCCATCGATCTCTCCAAGAATGCCAGGTATGACGATTGTTCTACGTCCCTTTAGTGATAGTAAGAAGAGTGTACCTCGAAAACTGAACTCACTATTCCCTCGAATGTCTGATAGATCTCATTGCCGCTCTTTTTATTCGCCGCATGAGACAACACCCACCTGGCGAGACTCTCATCGTCGGTCGCGTTGAACGGTGTGCGGGTTCCTTTAATAGGGGCAGAATTGGCCGACTTGGCTGTAGGACGGGATCCGCCAGCAGGACGAGAACCACCAACGGGGCGCGAAGCTGTGGGGGTCTGGTGCATCTCGTATTTATCCGTTTCTTGTATCGCGCCGTTGTCGACGGAATCTCTGACAAACTTCCAATCGAGCGATCCAGCTGGTTTGAGCCCAGTGTCATACGTAATGTAGTGGTCCGCCTGGGTTTCCAACTTGGCAATTGTGCCGCCGTTTTGCTACCTCAGTCAGCTCCCAGAACGCCTGGCATGTTAGAAGTGATTACCTACCTTGATAAGTTCCAGGATTTTCACCCTGCCGGGCACGCGCAACGACACAAAGAACTTCAGATCCTTGAAGAGAGTGCCGCGGGCGCCGGGCACTCCATCGTAAGTGATTCCACCTGCCGACATATCCAGCCGAACATGAAAAGTGTAGCTGGGAAAACTCCAAGCTTGACTTTGTGACACGTGTGGACGTCTCAAGCTTGCCCTTGGAAAAAGTTGTTGATGTCGCTGAGAGTGAAACTCAGGACGGACAACTACACATAGGGAGACAGCCTGCCTTGAAGAAGTTTGGTCAAGTCGAGAATCGCAATGATGCCCCAGGAGGGTACGATAAAATAATCAGTCAAGAGTGAGGATCCACGCAAACGACGCGCTTGCTGAAGTTGATATCTCGGCCTGAAAGGCGTGTACAGGGCACACTCAAATGTCCTTCCTTTTTATGTCCGTTAGGAATAGGCGTTAGGAATAGACCAAGTGCCTTTGTTTTTTGGAGTGGGCTTGCTGCCTCTAATTGACACGGACTGTGATGCAGCTTCGTCTTTGTTACCCGCGCAAGTGCACTGCCAACACTGCAGGTATCTAACGTATTAGTAGAAGGCACACATGTGCTCAAGCGAGACGCGTGTTCGTGGAAGGGATGCCGCGTGTTCACGTGTGAACTGCTTCTATGCGTTAAGATTTGTATTCTAAACAGTACATGGGCATATGCAGTATAGCATCGACAAACGGTCTATTCAAATGTGCGCTATGACCTCTCTTACTCGATACAGTGATACTTTTGGCATGCTTCAGTGTCATGTCAACGCTCTCACTCTAAACTATCGTTGTTCTGCGACCGTTCTCTCCATTTAGCTCGTAACTGTGAAGAATTTCTCAAACCCTAGAATTATTAAACTCCTTCCTTGCTGCTGGCCAAGATCCTCAGTCTGTTGATGAGGACGGTGTGCCTAGGTACTTTAGGCTGACACCTCAAGGCTCAGGCCCTCTCCACTCGCTACCGGCCACAGCAACGGATACCTAGGTAGTGGGCTTGTCATCCGTTTGCCTTACCCGCCTCAGCCGGCACATCCAGCCCGAAGTACTGTAAACTAGGACTAAGTGGAACGTCGCCATATCTGCCGGAATTCTCAGATTTCGGTTTTCTTCAAGATCATGTGTTGGAAGAAGTCATAACACTTGATTTTGGTATAATGAGCGCCCTCCGGAATGCGGCACTCTTCGTGCTGGCTGTGTCCTTCACCGTCTTTGTCGCCTTCTTTGGCCGACTGCCGGCTCTGAGGTTCGTCATCATATTTGTCCGCTGGCTGGAGTACAAAGCCATCTCACTATTAAGAACATGAACTCACCATTTCTGCAGACACACGCCAATTGCAACGATGCATAGGATAATGTGGATCCATATCCCAAATGGCTTCCTCGCTGTAGACAAACTCATCACGGGAGGGAGGTTCTCGACTTCCATGATACGCTTTGGCAACTTCATGATGCATGACCGTCATCCCACTGTCGTCGTAGGTGTCCGAGTTTGCTACAGATCCACGGAATTCTCAAGCAGCTAACGCATCGCAGATCTTCTTCCTGCTCATTCTCTCTGTTTCGGAATACCTATATCTACCGGGAGCGTGGCCCCAGATTTCGCTCTTCCACAAGATTATAGGCTGCATCGTCATCTTCTTCCCTTATTGGTTCCTGTATCTATCCGTCATGGCCGACCCGGGCTACATTACAGCCGAGAATCACGCCTACTACATGTCTCTCTACCCCTACGACTACTCAATCTTCTACCCCGGACAGAAATGCAGCACGTGCAACCTCATCAAGCCTCCCCGTTCCAAGCACTGCAGCATCTGCAAGCGCTGCGTCGCAAAACTCGATCACCACTGCATCTTCATCAACGGCTGCGTCGGCTACAAGAACCAACACTACTTCGTTCTGCTCCTCCTGTCTACGGCCGTCCTGACCTCGTACGGCGGGCTCCTCGGTTTCTCACTCCTCTCCAACAAGATCGCCGCCAACTACCCCCAATGGGCGCTGTGGCCGCCAAAGGGCATGGAGATCAAAGAGTACCTCCTCATCTGGAGCTGGGCCCTGCAGGACAATGTCGGCATGGGCGCCGTCACCCTCCTCGCGGCCATGACCTCCCCGCTGGTCTGGGGCCTGCTAGGCTACACCTTTTGGCTTATCTACTGCGGTACCACGACCAACGAGTCGCTAAAGTGGTCCGACTGGAAGGCCGAGATGGACGACGGCTGCGCCTTCAAGCGGAGCATGCCCGCGAACCGCGTCAAGGACAAGCGCTTCGAGCCGGAGAGGACGCGCTGGCCGCTGCAGACGCAGCAGGTCTTGACGAGGACCGAGGACGGGATGTCGCCTCCGGACCACGGGCCTGGCGATGGTGAGTGGGAGCGCGTGTGGAACCTCAAGGATGTCGAAAACCTCTACGATTTGGGGCTGTGGGACAACTTGGCAGATATTTTTGTGTCGAACTACGGCTTCAACGTCAAACGAGACCAGCCGTCTGTGGAGGCCCTGGGACGACAGAGGCATTCGCCCAAAGCCTGATCCATTCGTCCTTCCTTAAGACAAGTTGTGTATACGTAGTGTGTAGTATTAATGTAACATGCCACAACCAAAAATGGACGATATTGCCAACTTGGACATCTGTGATTTAGGTAGCCAGGACACGGTGTCATATGGAATTCACAACGCATAGGACGAGGCATAGCATATCAAAACATGTAGCATGCGTAGAGGCTCTTTCAACATTTGTCTTTGTTTCATTTCAACGTGTCTCATCTAATTCGTACCTGGGGCTGCTGAACCCAAGGCAATCTCAGACGCCCCAGCTACTCAGGGCTTGTAAAGCCAATCTGAGGATCTAATGATGCATGCCGCAGAACTCTCCGTACCGTTTGTGCATGTCAGCCAGCCGCTGCAGGAAGTTTTCCACTTCTCAGGCAGGAACTTTGGCTTGACGTGGCCACCGACTGTCCAAAGTTTTTATCTTCAAACGTGCACACGCTTACAGAATAGTGCCGAATCTAAAAAAAAAAAAAAAACTTATGTTAGAACAGAAGCTCCTCAACAATCGTTATGGTGACTTGTGTAGACATACCCAAATGTGCGCTTGATGCTGTTGACGTAGTACTCTTGCCAGTTACGCTTCGTGGCCTCCTCCTCACCGACAGGGACGCCATCCCAGTTGACACGCATCAGCGTAACGTGGTCGACGTCGTTCTGGTCAAACTCGATGCTGAGCTTAGAGAAGTGGCCCTCGGGCCACTGCTTCAGGCGCCAGCTCTGTACAATCTTCTTGGGAGCGCTGAGCTCGAGGTACTCGCCCGTGACGTTTCCGTCAAACAGTTCAAACTTTGCGCCCTTGATGGCGCCCTGGAAGACCTTGGGCGGCGCGCGAGTGAAGGCGGCGATGCGGGCGGGGTCGACAAAGGTCTGGTAGGCCTCCTCGGCCGTGGTGCGGAACTCGGCGGTGTCGGTCAGAGTCATGGTGTTGACGACCTTGCTGGAGCTACCCTTGACGCTGGTCGAAGTGGTGGTGGACTTGGCCGGCGTGTTCTGTGCCTGGTACTTCGGGGTCGAGAAGCCGCTGGATGGGTTGGATCCGGGAGCATGCTGAATATCCTTGCCGTGCTCGGCGATCAAGGCTCCGGGCAGCTTGAGGAACTCCTTGCGGAGCTCGGGCACGAGCTTGGAGCGGACGAGGTCCTTGACAGGCTGCTTCTCCTTGGAGTCGGAGTAGATGTCGATGTCAAACTATCAGGCAGGCAAAGTCTCAGTAAAACGGGGCGTCCTGTTGACGATGCAGAGATTTCACAAGAGATAGACCCACCACAAACTCATCCTCCTCGGTGTCGTGGGCAACCTCAGGAACGGTGATGGTGCCAGAGACCTCAGCCTCGTCGGCAGTGGTGCCTGCGCTACGTTAGCGAGGCTCCAGAACACACGACTTCACAAAAATGGTACAATGTCAGGCAGAGAAAGTCGGTTGAACGAGATTTTTTTACGGGATGTGAAATACATGTGCTTGCATTGATGGACCTACCGGTGTATTCTAGAACGAGCTTAACATCGTAAATGGTGATGACCTTGCCCTTCCTTTGGCTAACGTCGACGTCGCCATCCATGCTCACAACCTTGCTAATCTTTGCCGTGACACCGCTATCGGCAGTCTCGACTTTCGCCAAGCTCTCCTCAAGGTACTGTCTCGCCCAGGCCGAGGCATCCTTGTTGACCCAATGCCAGTTGTTAGGGTTGTGGAGGACCATCTTGTCGGCGGTGACTCGGTTTCTGATTCAGGCTGCGAGGTAGGAAATGGGTGTCTGTAAAGATTCCAATTGCGAAGGTTAGCAAAGGAACGAATGAATGCGTCGCGAGATTTCGTAGGTTGAAGAAGTAAACAAATAAATTATCGGTTTGTCCCGGATCAGTGGTTGGTCAATAGACCGCAGCGTTTTTCATCAATAAGGGAGTACAAATCACTCTATGACTGGTGCCAGCTGGTGTATCATCATATTGGGAGAAGATGGAAAGGAAAAAGGCGCGGGGTAGATAAAGAAGGGGTGGAATTGGGGGTCAGTCCTTACCTCAGTGCGGATTGGCGCGTTGGAGTGTCATGTCCAAGGAAGTGTTGCGCATGGAAAGAAAAGGAAGATGGGATTAAATCTGAGCGCGGGACCTCTTTTGAAAGAAAGCTCTAGAATTCTGACGGCCTCTCCGCTGCCAGGTGGGCTGGGCGGTAAATCGTCGGCCGATTGGTTTGCCCGTAGTTGCGGCTGAACCCCACCTTCTCGTGCCCGACCTGCCTATTCAAGGTCACCAAATTGGTTGACCGAGAGGGGCCTGTGCTTGTCATGGCATTGGAGCTGCTCTTTCAGCAGTCTTGCAAGTTGCACATGTTCATCAGTCGTCCAGATCAATGTTGCGTACCACGAATCCACGAAAAGACGAGCCCACATGCTCGGTCCGGATTACTGAACTCCTTATTTCTTCTTGTCTCAGATGGCAAGAGTTTCAGGGCAGAGTGCAAACTGCGTCGCTTCACTGCAGCTTTCTTCTTTCCTCCTCATGTTGTACCAGATCCCTGGATGAACTAAGGTAGGTAGACGAGATATATGGGAGCCGGTACATGGAACTGCAGACGTCGGCTCATCAGGCAAACCATTTGTCACGAAGTCTTTCTATCATTCTGAGTGCGACTCATCTACATACATCTTCTTTCATCATCTGGAACCTCGAACAGGAAAAGCAAGCTGTGATTCGATAAGGTCTCGCTTACGGATGCAAGCAAGTCCAGCTCACGAAAATGCAAACACCACTCTCCATCAACCATGGCATGTGAAACGGCTGGCTTGCAGGCGACAGGCCGATGCAAAATCTGAGTGCCTTCCAGGCCATCTTCTGGAAGCCGGATATGGTCGCTCCCGCGCGGCCAACGTCCGCTCTTGGCCTACTATTTCCGTGCTATCTGGGGCAGGGTCATCTGCAGTCTACGATGCCATTGAGTGATTGCGTTCTGACCATTGCATTCACACGATGTCACCGTGAAGAGGTCTAAGGACGGGAACTCAACGGATGATACCTGCTCGACCGGACGGTTGCCGCAGTGCCGATGCTTGCCAAGTTGCCTCGTTGCACGATAATGAGAAACTCGATGATCGATGTAGTTTTCAGGATCGTGCAGTCCAAGATGTGCTCGACGGCATCGATAAGCTCGATTCCCAGTTCTGGGGTACTCAGCAAAGCCACGATGGTTCCCAGCAAACGGGCCTTGAGCAATATTTAGAACTTCTATGCCTGTTCTTTGCATCCAACCCCGCAGCTTCACGTACCCACAGGAGGTTTCTTCATTCACGTGGAAGCTATTCGGCACCTCAACCCTGTTGAATTACAGGACAGGGCCCAGCCACCCGATATAAACGCCAAAGACAGCCAAAGGTCCAAACAAGCAACAAGTCGGTGAGGAAGACCCCCGAGGCCTGGCTCCTGACTAGGACTTAAGCTTGCTCAACGCTAATGCCTGCTTCCCTTCAAGGCTGCCAGCCAACAACCGAATCACTCGTCCAGCTTCATCGGGCGGACGGCGGCCGCGGAGAGGAAGTAGGGCCAGGAGAGCAACAGAAGTCTTTCAGACTGTCGAGCAAATCGAAGGGCATTTTAAGCGCCGACAATCACCTCCGCGTTCTTTTCACAGCGCCATCAACCAATCAAAACCCTAGACGTCTCTTTGACTAGCCAGGGTCTAAGTATGCTTCCAAGAATAGAATGGCCTCCCACTAGAAAACTAACCAATCGATATGGCCGCCTACCGACGTCTCCACGAGTCTCTTCTCTTGGCTCCATCAAAATGACAGGCCACTTTGGACCGGACCCTGGCGCGATGCTCACTCATCTTTCCTCTTGTTGGGCCGTGGCAGGTCGCTACGAGCTTTGCGTATGCTATGTTCCATGCTCGCCTCTTCTCGTTGGTTGTCTTCTGCTAAGGCATATTGTGATAAGGTCTGCTAGCTATGTCGAGTCGATAATGCTCAGTACTGCGACCCTGGCTCTGAGCTTCATGCCTCCCTACTCTCTCTTATGCCGTCCTGGCCGATGATGGTCGTAACAGTACCACGCCATTTCATCATTCTCAAGAGGGAGAAGAAAGCCAGAGATGAACTGCAGCGGTGGACCTTAGCAGCACCATAGCTTTGTCGGCATCTGCAGGCCGGCCATGCAGTCGCGACAGCAGCCACATGGGATGTTGCTGGTCCTTCCGCACTTTGCTGTCCGGCTCGCTTTCACAACCTCATGCTGCAAGCAAGCAAGTGCTGCTCCTCGCGGATGGACGAACGTACTTCGTACCCATCCATAGCTTGACACCCCTTCGAATTAGCTCAATACCCTGTCATGTATCGGCTCCCGCTATGAGGTACATATGCTCTGCACCGAAGTCGGGAAACGAGTTAGTCACTATGTTTGCTGCAAGTTGCAACAACTCAGCGCCGAGCATCAACTGCCTTTAGTCCCGGCCTTGAGATCCACCATTGCGCTTTTGCTCCGGGACCCGGCTGCTATTCCTGTCGTTTCCTCGTGCTCCCGAGAGCCCGCTGTTCTCCATGCCCCTCCTGCTTCTCACCCCAATGTCTTGAATCTCGGCCACCCAAGTGTAGGGGTGCCACAGGGGTGCAGTTCTGTCGGCGGGCGATCAAGCATGAGCCAAGAGCGAGCCAGCAACCCCGGTACCCTCCTGTACGTGGGGTGGGATGTATGTACCTCTCATGCAGGAGGTTGACCACATTGCAGCAGACCCGACCTAGACATGACCATCTCTTTTATCTTCTGCGTCCGCCCACCCAAACTTTTGTTCCCTTTTCGCTTCAGCCGCGCCCTCCCCCTCCTAGGTGTGACACGACCTTACTGCCGGCTGCCTGTCCGTCCTCTCGGTTGTGCGGTGTGTTCCGCGACATGAGACTGGCTTTCCATCAGTCAAGTTGAATGGGCTGGTAAAGAGTGGAAGAAGTGCGAAAGAGGTTGGCAAGTTGCTGGCTGAGGTATCCTTAACCCCAGTGAGGGTCTAAGTCGTCCTCATCTGCTCGAACCGACTCCAGTGTCATTCCGAGTCTACAACCCTATCAAGTTTCTGACGTCGCCGGGAGTTGCTCAACTCAGCGGGTAGCCATTTGGCTTACAATGAACAATCCTCGCGATCCAACCCGGTTGCGCCAGGGTCTCAATCCGTTGTTAACTCAGTCTCTGGGTGCATACCACAACCAGGTCAACACGCCGCTGTCAGCTGTGTCCTCATCGCACTTACACTCAGCTGCTCACACACCGGCAAGCGCAATACAGCCTTACAACCCACAAGAATGGATAGCTTCACCTGCTGCCGGGTCTGAAAGGTCCCATCAATCACACCAGTTCCCTGAGCAAGGTATGCATCATTCAAAACTTGCATTGGCCCCGGCCGGCTTTGCTGACCAGTCTCGATAGGATCACCATTACCTCCGCCTCCATATAGTCCACCGCGAAGCCAACGACCACAGAGCGGTTTTTTCGAGTCCTCACCAGCGGCGAATACGTCGGCAGCACGGATCCCTCCCACGAATGTTCATAGGCCGTCCCCGGAGCCTTCAACGAACACATCATTTCCTCCCCCACCGGGAGCCGGAGGTCGGACAAGCTCACGCGAAAGGCGCTTCGGGTTTCATTCTCTGAGACGGAGCAGAGAGCCCCAAGAATCAAGTCCTCCGGAGCCGATGCCGCCTATGCCGTTATCAAGGCCAACCCCTCTTCAGATCCAGATCCCACATCCAATGCCACATCACAATGACCCGAACTCATCACACGGCCCGCCCGGTGCTCGAAGAGCTACTTCTGCCAGTGCAGTCGAGACACCAACTTCAGCTCGCTCACGTTCGGCGTCTCAGTCAAGATGGGAACCGGGAATGCCCCTCCCGCCGCCACCTCCGGTCCCACCGCCAGCTTCGTCTCGGTCACAGAGCGTGCAGAGCGGGCCGAGAACGACTACACCCGTGGCTTCCCCGCCCACAAGGCGTCCTCCGCCAACAGGCGTTGCAGCCCTTGGACCAGTACCTCCGACTCCTGCAGACTGGGTTGATCAACCCGAGGAATCTAGTAGTTCTTCACAACGGAGACACTCTCCGAAGTTGACCATCGATACTGCTAGTGCTGCGAGCTCTACACAGACCGGAGAATCAAGCAATTCCGGCGCATTGAGCTCTGGTGGCAGTCTTAGTCGGGCGAGAGCTGTCCGCCACGACAAGACCATCGTTCAGCGCCGGGCTGAGAGCCGGACCAGACCGCATAACTCGATAGATGGGACCATTAACCCAGTTCAGCTCAATGACATCGTTGTTCCGAATGAGAACACACTTTCTCGCAGGTTAACGATCAACAGATCAGGACCAAGAAGCGGGGGACGGACATCGAACGACACGCCTCGGACTGACGAACAATCGACTACACCGCGGGCACCCGGGTCGTCATCGTCATGCAGTCGAATTGAGGCGGCAACACCGCCGTTTTCACCTCATCCGTCAAAGGGCACTCCCATGATGGATGGATCACCAAGCGTCTTGCCCAAGGCGCTGCCAACACCGCCGCCGCAGACTCGATCGGCATCGAGCTCTCAAACAAGATTCAGCTCAATGACACCCGCTGAAGGCCCTTCGTCAGCATCCATCTCATCCACGAAGCACATTGTCATCACGCAAACTGCGGATCAGTTTTGCTGCGAAACTATTGAGCGATTCCAGGCATTCGCTACCCAAGAGTCCACTGCGGCCACCGATGCCGAGCGAGTTCGCATGTTTGCCGACTTCATCGTGAACGAGTCCAGGATCAGGCGAGAAAGATATTCCTCTGCCATCGGGGCCATGGGCTCGGAGATCTTTGATCTGACGAGGGACCTCTTCCGCCCCATGGTCACACGGCGTGAGTCGGCAACTTCACAGGCTGAGTGGACACCCCAGTCATCTGAACCTACGCGATCCCATCGTGGGTCGATGAATTCGGTCTATCGCGAGACGCCCGGGGAATCGAGTTCCGCTCCAACGTCAGCCAACGTTCCGGGCTCGCCCATTGTGCCATCGGCAAACAACCCAAACTACTCTTCCAACTACATGCCGTCGCTTTCTCCGATATTGAGTCTTAGCGTGAGTGACAATCACGACGATGGGGACTCCCGGGGCCGGCCTGCCAGTAGATGGTGGGAGGCAGACTCTTCAGGGGCAGGCGGGAAATTTGTCGAGAGGTCCAAGAGAGAGTCCAAGTACATGGGCGTTCCAAAGGAAGCTCACGAAGCCTTGCAATGGGAGGACAGTCCGCAAGCGGGCCCCAGTAACCCGAGATCTTCGGGCGAGTATCCTCCCGAAAAGACGGGCTGGCATGAGATGGAGCCCGTGGTTACGCCACAACCACTCCGGTACTCATCAGAATCCCTTGGGTCTTCAGCTTCGCCCACGACGCCGAACCCAGCCCATCTGGACGTCTCTCGACTCGTCACTCTTCCACCGCCGTATCCTCGTCATCATCCAGCTGTTAACAATAACCATCCAGAATTGACCGAGACTAGAGTAGCCGTTCGCCAGATCAGCGACCTCTCCCAGATTGAAACTACAAAAGAAAGATTCCAAGTCACCAGCACGAAGAAGCGCGAGGAAGCCGCAAAGGCGTCCATTGAGAGGCGAAATGCTTTGCGCTCCAATTTACAGCAGGAAATCAACGCCGGCAACATTTCGTTTGCCGATGCATCGACCATCGAAGATGATTCGGTGGCAGCCGAAAAGGAGAAACAGAAGGAGCTGGGCAAGACAGAGTTTGAGCAGTTCCAAAGCCAGGTCGTCATGCCCCTAAACGACCTCATCACCGGCCGCATCGTCCAGGCCACAACCCTCTTCGACAAGCTGGCGGGAGGGCTCTTTGACGACGTAGCCAGCGCCGCCGACATGCCCCAGGAAGAAGGCGACGACAAGCCCGAGCTCCTAGAGAAGCTGACGCTCCTCAAATGGATCTTTGAGGCGCGGGAGATGCTGCACCGCGCCATCTTTGACGTCCTCACGGACCGCAACAACCGCTACCGTGACGTCGTCCTCACGCCCTACCGCCTGGCCGGAAACGAGGAGAAGCTCCAAAACGCCGTCGCCTTTTTCGCCGAGGATGCCGCGAAGCGGCAGCTGGCTTTCGCGCACGAGGTCTTTGCGCGCACGCAAGAGTTCCAGGCCGTCATGGAGCGCAATGTCATGCGCGGCGTCGAGGTGCAGCTCTCGGCATTCTGGGACATTGCGCCGCCGCTGTGCCGGCTGCTCGATAAGATCACGCCCGCCGACCCGGAGGCTCTGCACATCCAGATCCCGTCGGCTGAGTACGACGAGAACCCGTCGTACCGCCGGCACCCGTTGCAGTACCTCTTCAGCCTGCTCTTGCACACGGAGAAGAGCACGTACCAGTTCATCGAGTCGCAGACGAACCTCTTGTGCCTGCTGCACGAGGTCAAGGAGGCCGTCACGCACGCAAAGGCCAAGGTTGTGCAGAACGAGATGGACGATGGGCGGGGTAGAGAGTTTACCGCCGAGGAGCGCGATGCGCGCGCGCAGCGTCTCCGCGACGAGGAGGGACGTATGTTGACGGACGACTTGAAGGAAAAGGTCCGCGTCGTGCAGGACCAGTGGACGAGTGCGCTGGGCGAGAACATCAAGAATGTGAAGCAGATGCTGGGGGAGTATCTGCTCGAGACAGGAGGGTGGGACGAGGCTTTGGAGGAGGGTGGTGTCGGCAGCGTCTAAATGAGCTTTTGCAATAGACGAGAGAGAAGGACACCAGAGGTTCGGGTATGATTTCTCTTATATATCTTCACGGCGACGAAGACGTTGATACCCCTTTGCGTATGACGACACTTGTTTACACTTCTTGTATATATTTTCCCAAGAAACTTCTAGGTAGGGGGTTTTGTGACCCAGGAATTAGCTAGACATGGCACGAAGATATGATATTGAACGGCATGGGATTTTCAAAAGTATTTCCAAAGTGCATCGTAGTGTTTTTTCTGATAACTTGTTTCCTCTCCATTTTTATGAGAGATGTTCTCCGCGACCCATCTACACAGTAATATCTTTCGTACGACAACTTTCCCATCCAAACGCCCATTATGTTACATTTATAAATACGGCGCCGCCCATCCTTGGAAGAATGGCCATATGCCTTGTATATTTGTTTTGTTGCTCTGCCTTCGCTGATTGCCGAGATCCAACCGCCCAAGAAATCAGCCAAGGCAGAACATTAAAATAAATAAACACGGCACATGGGCACTCGTTCTTCCGAGGGTGGGGGGCGTGGTGTGCCGTCCCACGATCTTGTGCTTTGGTATCCCCCCATCAAGGGTTTCCTTGATTCGATCGCGTCTCCCTCACTTCTAGTCGGCAGCCTTTCCAGTATCTTTTCGTAGAGCCCGGCTTTGTAATCAGTCCATTAGCTCGTTCACAGCAGTCATCTCTTCAAACAATCCATCTCGCGCTGAAGGAACTCTCTCTCTCTCTCTCTCTCTCTCTCTCTCTCTCTCTCTCTCTCTCTCTCTCTCTCTCTCTCTCTCCCCTCTCTCAGCTAGAAAAGGCTTCCACCCCCATCGTCGATAGTACTAGGAAACACACTTCATTTGTTCTCCAACCGGTCTCTAAACTCCTTGGGCAGATCCATGCCGACCCTCCGCGCCGTCAAGCGCACGCGCTCCTCCTCGTCCATGTTCATGCCCGGGTTGTAGCGCTCGAGGAGCGTGACGTAGGTGCGCTGGGCGCGGAGGTAGGCGGCGAACTGCTCGGCCTCTGCGGCATCGGCCGCGGCGCGGGACGAGTCTTGATTTGCGGCGACGGGGGCGGCGGTGAAGCTGGTGCGTAGGCGGTTGTGGATTGCCGAGCGCTCGCGGGCGAGGACGGGACGAGGCGGGAGCTCGCGTAGGAGGGAGCGGTAGAGGGAGCGGAGGTGGGGGACTGTGGTCATTTTGGCTGTTTTGCTCGATTGATTTGCCGATGTTTAGGTGTTTGTGAGGTATCCGGAGAAGATGGGAGCAACGGCGGAGGAGAATGTGGTGATGGTTGAGGTGTTGCTGGTAGTGACGATGCGACGGGAATTTTTTGGATTGAAGCTTTGCAATATGAGCGTCGAAATCCGAGGCCGGGGTCCCTTCTTTCCTTGGAGCTCTCCCGATGCGCTCAGCGGGTGTTTGGGTGGATCCCCCGTCCCTGGCGGGCACTGCTGCACTTCGGGCAGGTTCTTGCCTTGGAATCTCACCTCAGGCACTTTCAATGGAAATTTGAATACAGCCCGACCCAGGTACCCTAGAAAGGCCCGAACTACTGCAGCTTATATTACATAAGGCGAGGAAGGCAACCTGAGCTGAGCTATTACCCGTGGACGGCTATCGGTCCCATCCATGGCCCGGCGCCGGCACAGGCAACAGGCACGGATGGAGGGGTCCTGACTCTGGATTCTCGACCCCTCCTTAACAGAGCACTTGCAGCTCTAGTTACGGCAAAGCTTACCGCACTTCAGCATCTTTACTTAAGTCTGATTTTTCATAGGCATTTCCCAATACCGACCTTATCCACAGAAAGAAAGTGGAGGGCGTTGAAAAGACGACACTGCAGCTCTACGGACACCTACTAAGGTACCTCTAGTCTTCTAAGCTGGTCTTCGTAGCGAATTGACTCGTTTGTGCGTCCACAATGGCCCATCCCATGACGCAACAGCCGCCATGGTAAACACATGCTGGAGCCATAGAGTGAGCCAGGAACCAAGGAGCTTTGCCTCTTGGACACAACTTTCCCCCTCCTCCACTGTCCACATCCACATTGCGCATCCACACAAACCACCTTTGACCTCCCATCTTACGTCTAGAGTTCCATGCCCTCCAAGGTCCGACCATCAAGCGGAAACAACAAAACAAGACAGGAGCCCACCTCCCGTCTCTCTTTCGTGCCCTTCCTCCTCATCTCCTCCGTTCTCGTCGTGACACTGGCTATCCTATCTCTACGAGCTCTTCCCCGGCTCTCCCTCCTCTCGAACCACTTCTTCCCTATCACCACGACCACGACCCTCTTCTCTTCCTCCTCGTCTTCCTCGACAAAGAGAAACTCGCCGCCCGCCATGTCATCCTACGCAAAGGAGCTCGAGGTGGCCCAGCTGGCCGTCCAGCGCGCCTCCATCCTCACCAAGCGCGTCTTCCACGAAAAGGCAAAGGGCACTGTCGACAAGAACGACAAGTCCCCCGTCACCATTGGCGATTTTGGCGCCCAGGCCCTCATCATCGCCGCCCTCCGCCACCACTTCCCTGACGACGAGATCGTCGCCGAGGAGGAGGCTGCCCAGCTGCGCTCCGAACCCCAGCTCCGCGATCAGATCTGGGATCTCGTAAAGACCACCCAGCTCGACGACGCCGCCGCCGAAGCCTCCCTCGGCGGCGGCATCGCCTCCGCCGAAAGCATGATGGACATCATCGACCAAGGGAACAGCAAGGGCGGCGCCGCCGGCCGCATCTGGGCTATTGACCCCATTGACGGCACAAAGGGCTTCCTCCGTGGGGGCCAGTACGCCGTCTGCCTGGCCCTCATGGTTGACGGCGACGTCAAGGTCGGCGTCCTCGGCTGCCCCAACCTCCCCGTCGACGACAAGGCGCCCCTCGCCGCCGACATCGGCTCTAACGCAAACGACGACACGGGCTACGGCGTCATCTTCTCTGCCGTCCTCGGCCAGGGCGCCACCTCGCGGCCCCTCCGCACCGGCGCCATCGCCTCCGGCGGTCCCATCTCCATGAAGCCCGTCACCGATCTGTCCGCCGCCACCTTTTGCGAGAGCGTCGAGGCTGGCCACAGCGCGCACGACGACCAGGCCCAGATCGCCGCCAAGCTCGGCATCACCAAGCCCAGCGTCCGCATGGACAGCCAGAGCAAGTACGGCTCCATCGCCCGCGGCGCCGGCGACATCTACCTCCGCCTACCCGTCAAGGCGACGTACCAGGAAAAGATTTGGGACCACGCGGCCGGCGACCTCATTGTGCGCGAGGCCGGCGGTCAGGTCACGGATATCCAGGGCAAGAGGTTGGATTTCGCCGTCGGACGGACGCTGGCGAACAACAAGGGCGTCATTGCTGCACCGGCTGCCGTGCACGGCGAGGTGTTGAAGGTTGTTCAAGAGGTGTTGAGCTCAAAATCTAGCTAAGAAAAAAAAACCTTAGGAAAGAATAATAGTAAAAATATGAAAGATGTTTTGGACTTTCTTGATTTTGCGATTGTTGTGATTTTCCCTGGGCTGTCTTGAAGAACCAGCAGAATAAATAGTGTACATTGTTTGTCTCTTTTTTTCTCTTTTCCCTTCCCCGTACAGTGATATACAGCTATACACAGCCCTCCAGAAGCTCTGCCATCGACACACAACCACAGCCGACTCTGCAGCAAAGCCCAAAGAAGTGCCACACCACATCCCATAGCCTTCCCTCTTTCCCACTCCAACCGTCCGCGCAGCGAAATCGTCTATTTGATCTTCTTCTGCTTCAGCTTAATCGTCTGGTCATCGATAAACACGCCCTTGCCCTTATACGGTTCCGGCGGCCGCCACTTGCGCACCCGGCCCGCGAAGCTCATCATCAGCTCGCGGTCGATGCTCTCGAGCAAAATACGCGTCGGGCTCGCCGCCGTGACCTTGACGCCGCGCGGGATCCCCATCTCGACCGGGTGCGTGAAACCGAGCTTCAAACACAAAAACTTTTGGCCGGGGAACTCCTCGAGCCGCCCGCGCTGCTCGACGCTCGCGCGGTAGCCGATGCCGACGAGGCGGAGGATCGCCGTGTGGCCTTCGGAGACGCCCATGATGTAGCGCTGGAGGTAGGCCCATGTCGTGCCTGTCAAGTTTCAAAGTAGTCAGCAAAGCGCGTTCAGTCAATTGTGATGGACTCGACTTTCGCTGAAGACGAGAAGACAAGCTTGAACTTCCTTAAGAAAGGGCAGTGAAGGAGAGGGAAGGGGGGAAACAGCAAAAAAGGTAAAGAACCCACCCCACATCTCGCTCTGCTCCTTAATGTTCGAGTCCTCCACGCTCAGAACCGCCGTGCTGCCCTCGACATCGTAATCAATCTTCAGAAAAGGCGGAATCTCCAGATCCAATTCTCCTGTAGCAAACCAATTCAATCCAGCATTAGCTTAAGCTCCTTGCGGCCTCCCGGTCACCCCCTTTCTCGAAGGGGCCCGACCAAAAAAACATACCCAGGGGTCCCGTGACGGTGACCGTTCTCTTGTAAACCTTCAAGTAGCTCGTCGGATCCTTCTTCAGCTTCGGCTCGCTAATGGCCAGCTTCACGCCCGGCGGGATCGAGACCGGCGTCCGCCCGAGCTTGGAGTTTCGTGTCGGCGTCGAGGAGAACTGGCGAGGCTGCTGCTGCTGTTGGAAAGCCGGCACAAGGAAGGCTGGTATCGTCGTGGCCGGCGAGGCGGCAAACGCCCGCCTCAAAGCCGTCCTGGAGGCCAGCATTGTTCGTTTCTTCGGAGAGATTGGCAAGCTTCACACCTCCCAATGGCGCGCTCGCTCATGTGCTTCTCGACAATTGGAATTGGCGACCCTCAGCAACTTTTCCACATCTTAGTCAGCCATGCGCGATCCACAATCTGGATTCTTCCGATTGGCCCCTGCTTAGCTCGGGAGGAACACTACCTTACCTCAGGTAAGTGTCCGCACCTAAGGTTATTACAGCTGGAACGCAACGTTAGGTAGCTCAAGCTCATTGCTTCCTCTTGGCTTTCAGGTCTAGGCAATTTTTACGTATAATTGATAAATGTCACAAGAAACAGGAGTTGAAGAATTATGTTGTTTGTGCCAGTAATTTGTACAGAGTAATCTCTGATTCTTCGTACTCATTTGATACGTCAGGCGAACTACTAAGAGAGGTATATCTAGAAGCCCATTTCCAGCAAGAAGCCGGAATCGCGAAGCGAAATGCCACCACGGGTGGGTTGGCGTAGTGTCAGGTCATAGTGACAGTGCGATTGAACTGCGCTTAAACCTCCTCCTCAAGAGGGACCTCCTCCTCGTACTCCTCCTCCTCCTCGTCAACACCAGCATCCTGGTATTGCTGGTATTCGGAGACGAGATCGTTCATGTTGGACTCAGCCTCAGTGAACTCCATCTCGTCCATACCCTCACCGGTGTACCAATGCAAGAAAGCCTTGCGACGGAACATAGCAGTGAACTGCTCACCGACACGCTTGAAGAGCTCCTGGATGGCGGTGGAGTTACCGACAAAGGTGGAGGACATCTTGAGGCCGCGGGGGGGGATGGAGCAAAGGGCGGTCTGAACGTTGTTGGGAATCCACTCGACGAAGTAGGACGAGTTCTTGTTCTGCACGTTGCGCATCTGGTCCTCGACATCCTTCATGGCGACCTTACCACGGCTGGGAACAACAAAGTTAACATTCATTCGCACTCCAGGGGCATTGTAGTCAACTTACAAGATGGCAGAGCAGGTCAGGTAACGACCGTTGCGGAAGTCAGAGGCAGCCATCATGTTCTTGGGGTCGAACATCTGCTGGGTGAGCTCGGGAACGCTGACAGCGCGGAAGGAGTGGGCGCCACGGCTGGTCAGGGGAGCGAAGCCGACCATGAAGAAGTGGAGACGGGGGAAAGGAACCATGTTGACGGCGAGCTTGCGCAGGTCAGAGTTCAGCTGACCGGGGAAACGGAGGCAGGTGGTGACACCGGACATGACGGCGGAGACGAGGTGGTTCAGGTCGCCGTAAGAGGGGTTGGAGAGCTTGAGGGTACGCATGCAGATGTCGTAGAGAGCCTCGTTGTCAATGCAGAAGGTCTCGTCGGAGTTCTCGACCAGCTGGTGGACGGAGAGAGTGGCGTTGTAGGGCTCGACGACGGTGTCGGAAACCTTGGGAGAGGGAACGACGGAGAAGGTGGCCATCATGCGGTCGGGGAACTCCTCACGGATCTTGGAAATCAGGAGGGTACCCATACCGGCACCGGTACCACCACCAAGAGAGTGGGTGATCTGGAAGCCCTGGAGGCAGTCGCAGCCCTCGGCCTCGCGACGGACGACATCGAGAACCTGATCGACGAGCTCAGCTCCCTCGGTGTAGTGACCCTTGGCCCAGTTGTTGCCGGCACCGGACTGGCCAAAGACGAAGTTGTCGGGGCGGAAAAGCTGGCCAAAGGGACCGGCACGGACGGCGTCCATGGTACCGGGCTCCAAGTCGACGAGGACGGCGCGGGGAACGTACTTGTTGCCGGAGGCCTGATTGGGTGAGAAGGTCAGCATTCGTCAATAGGATTGCCTGCACACTGGGGGACTAGGATAACAAACTTCGTTGAAGTAGACGCTCATACGCTCGAGCTGGAGCTCGGAAGTGCCGTTGTACCTGTGGTATAATTAGCTACTAGGTCCATGGGGCAGCCGCACTGGAGGACAAAGTGACATACACGCCATTGCTGTCGAGACCGTGCTCGCCAGAGATGTTTTGCCTGTACCAAGGTCAGTACGAAATCGTATCAAATGTCGAAATCGCCGCGTCGTGAGCGGTTGGCTACGCACCAGAAGGCAGCACCAATCTGGTTACCCTGTTCAAAGAAGTTAGCCCCGCACTCCGGCTCGTTGTGTTGAGATCAGGAGATACTTACGCACTGGCCGGTCTGAAGGTGAACCTATTGCGAGAAAACAATCAATGGTCAGCGGAATGTTTCCCATGCTAGAAGCGTTGGAGATGCAAGTCGGGCCATGTTTGGTAAATGTCGTTTTGGGTGGGAATATCGGCGGGGTACGCTCAGGGGCTATCCCGAAATAGTGGCCATTCCGACGCGTCGCAGAATTGTTGTGATGGGAGAGAGCGACTTACAATCTCACGCATTTTGAATGATGGATAGCTCTGAAGCTAACTTGGCCGACGATGTACGATGAAGAAGACGAAGAGAGTGCTCGAGAGCTAGGCGAAGCTTCAAGGCAAAGGGTTGTTGTGGAGGATTGGGCGAGGTAAGGTGTGGTTAGGTAGGGGAGGAGGTTGTTGATTTTTGTTTGCGGGTGGATGTGATTTTGTTCACCGCCACGGCTCGGTGGACGCCCAGAAGACAGGCCAGCGACAGGCCAGCGACAGGCCAGAGGGAAGGGGTGCAGCTCGCTTGTTTACTGCGTGGTGCTAGTCAGGCCCGTGCACGACCCCGATTGGGGAAAGACCAGTGCAAGGCACCCGCCCACGACCGCCCAAGTCTCTCCAAGTGGCCTTCCTAGTGGCCCCCAGTGCCCCCCAGTGTCCCCCCCCCAAGACCAATTGGAAGTGGGGTTGACTGAGTTGAGGTGACAGCAGATTGGCAGACAGCGCGCCCACGGCAGGTACGTATCTCAAGGTCCCCTGTATTTCGTCTCCTCTGTTCTTTCCGATCCGAGACCCGGGGTGACCGACTATCTGCTGAGACATCCAAACATCCAACGACACGTCTAGATAAGGTGCCAACCACTCCATCAGAAACCCAGGAATTCAAGGCATGAATTGTAGGCAATAGTGCTGAGCTTCGGGAGGTCACGGACTCTCTGACAATCGGAGCAGGTGCGGCACTGGCACCGGGCAGCCCTACCGAAAGCCAATGTCAAACACAGTGCCTACGTACGTGTACCAACAGGAACGACATTGGATTGCTCGGCACTGATCCCCAAGCACTGACCGAAAATGCTAAATTGCCAGTGGAGCTCAACATTTGCAAGGGGGGGCTCTTGATGCCAAATGAACTAACGGTGTGCCTGAGAGCTATCAAACGCAGATCAACTTCATAAAGTTCACAAAGTGCACTCAGCAATCAAATAATACGTGACTGACGATCGAGGCATCACCCTTTTCGGAACAATGGTAGCTACGTAAACTATCATGGCCACGATATATTCCCTTAGTGAGCCTTGACAACACCAGCCGCGTCGGCCTGAGCTGCAATTCTCTTCTTGTAGGCCTGAACGTCGCCGGGGAACTTCTCAACAGTGCCTCCGTCACATACCCAAAGGGAGGTGCACACGGTCTGCAACATGGTGACGTCGTGGGAAACCATCAGAACACCACCCTGGAACTCCTGCAAGGCCGTAGCGAGCGCGTCCATCGCCTCGATATCGAGATGGTTAGAAGGCTCGTCAAGAACCAAGATGTGCGGGTTGGTCAACGCAAGGCAAGCGAATGCCACACGCGACTTTTGACCTCCGGAAAGCACCGCCATCTTCTGCAGACCTGTCGTGCCCGTGATACCAAAGGCACCCAGTTGTCTGCGGTACTCTTCATCCGTCCGGCCGGGGTACTCCTTGGACATGAAGCCAACCGCACTCATCGTCAAATCAAGGGCATCAACGTGATGCTGGGCAAAGAAGCCGACGCGCAGACGGGGGTTTTGCGAAATGATACCCGAAGTGGCCGACAGCTTTCCGATCAACAACTTGAGAATAGTTGTCTTACCCGCACCGTTGGGTCCAACGATACCGATACGAGAGTCCAGTTGCACGTCGAGATCCACATTGCGCAGCAAGATGTTCTCCTTTGTGTAACCAAATGTCACGCCCGTCATCTGGATGATAGGAGGCGACATCTTCTCGACATCAGGGAACTTGAACTGCACGCTGTACTCTGTCTCGGGCGGCTCGAGTACCGGCATCTTTTCGAGTTTCTTGATACGTGACTGGGCTTCGGAAGACTTGGCCGCGTTGTAGCGGAACTTGTCGATGAAGGCTTGAAGATGGGCTCTTTGGGCCATTTGGTTCTCGTACTCTCTCTTCGCAGTCTTCTTGCGCTCCTCGCGAGTGGCATAGAAGGACTCGAAGTTGGCACCGCGGTAGTAGTCGAGACGCTGTGAGTGTTGGTGAATGATATCCGTCGCAATCTCATTGAGGAAGGCTCTGTCGTGAGAAACCACGAGAACCGTGCTGGGATATCCTTGGAGGTAGTTGGCAAGGAAAGCAATAGATGGGACGTCCAACATGTTGGACGGTTCGTCGAGAAGCAGCAGGTCGGGCTCGCAGAACAAAGCTCTGGCCAACGCCAGACGCATACGCCAACCACCGGAGAAGGTCTTGGTGGCATTCTGTTGTTTTTCGGCAGAGAAACCGAGACCAGCCAAAATACTTGCGGCTCGTGACTCGGCCTTGTCGGACTCCATCTCAGCAAGCTTGCCCTGAATATCACCGAGCCTGCCGTCTTGAGCTTCTCTTTCCTTGTCGAGTCTGGCGGCATCGGCTGAAGTATCGGCCATGCCCGCACGTTGGGTTTCGATCTCTGCCAGCTTCTGAGTAATTTCCTAGAAAGTTGTCAGTATGATGGCACATTTCACAAGGAATTACGACTGCGTATCACTTACAGTCTGCTCTTTGAGAAGAACTTTGCGCCACACATCGGCATCAAGCACAGCTTGGATTGCAGGGGTGTCGTCACCAGTAAGCTACGCAAATATTAGTATACAACAGAGTTGAAGGTGAACGGTATTCATTCTTACCTCCTGTTCGACGTGAAGAATGGTAATGTGAGGCGGGATTGGCAATTCTCTGCGAGACAGAGCACGAAGAAGCGTAGATTTACCGACACCGTTGTGTCCAACAAGACCGTACCTGTGACCATAGGAAAGGGTCAAGTCCGTATCAGTCACGATGCGCAGGCCACCAATGGAGACATCGATGTTGTCCAGCTTGATATCCTTGGTCTTGTTTGCTCCTGAACCACCCATCTGCAGAGGATTGACAGCCATGTAGAATTCCTCGTATGACTGAGTAGATTCAGGCTCGTCGAGCAATCTGGAAGCCTCATACTCAACCGTCTTGAAGGTCTTCTTCTGCTGCTTGGCTGCAATTTTGCGCTCAGCCTTCTCCAGCTTCTTTCGATCAACCTTTGATTCGACCTTGCGAGCGTTCGCGGACTCGAGATCGACAGCTCCCGTTGACACGGCCAGAGTGGAAGACATGTTCCGCTGAGAACTGACTTGGAAAGTCTCGTCAAGACGTCTGACTGCCAAAGGACCGCTTCGCAGTCCTCCATTGGACTCAGTGTACTTCTCGACCCATTTCCCAACAAGTTTCTCAATCTTCTCCTGGAGCTTAGCGTCGGGCTTTCCAGAGGCAGAGAGCAACAACTCGGTGACAGTGGCGGCTGCCTCGGCGAGAGGTGAGACGCCAGACTGCTCTTCCTCGTCCGAGTAGATCGTTGATGCGTGCGTCAAGTATCCAACCGAGTACTCGGAGAGCACCGGGTCGATGTTCGGCAAGACAGTTCTAATCTCCGCATCCATCGTTGCTACACAAAAAGTTGTAAGTTTGTGGTGGCGGTGATGGTAGAAATTTGCTTCAACGGATCTTTCAGCAATGCAAAGCTATTTGCTCTGCGACAGTTGACTTGACGTGAGACAAATGAGGTGGAAGCAAGCCCAGAATAATGTCACTTTGCTAGGCTATCGTAATTGCCTGATGACGACTTCACTTGTGATCTAGATGCGATATTCACGACAGGCCTCAAAATGTGGACCTTGAACCGAGTGCCCTGACCGGGCTTTGAGGTCTAAATCGGGATAAAGCCCGGCCCGTGAAGACGTCCTCTGGGGCTGCTTATGTCACCTCGACAGCGTCCAGTGACTTCAGGCTGATGTCTCAGCATTTTGACCAATGAGATGTATTGCAACAACACCGCAGCACTGCCAATGAGGCAGTTGCAAAAAGGAAGTGAACTCCTTCTGCAGACTGCATTTACCGAATGCCGATTGCTCTTTAGTTCAGAAGGAGGCAATTAAATGGCACAATCCAATGTTTCTCTCTGTCAACCTTTGCCGAATGGTCGATTTTTCAACGTCTTCCAACGACCGACTCAGACTTGTTGTCTCTCTCTCTCTCTTGAAGTCCCGACAGCATGGATAACATCGCCGATTGACCTGACACTGTGGAGTTGGCTGAGACAAACGGGCAAAACGGCAATTCTCGACGCTCCATCCGTACGCTGTAGACGGAATGCTCTATCGAATACGTCTCTATTGCCACCGCCGTCACCGACATTACATTGCCGAAAATGGATGAAACCCAAAGTCTCAATTTGACATTGGCCAGCTGAAAAGCATTCGCAGAGCCTAGTCTAACCAACACCAGCGAATGGGGAGCCGCAGATCACCGAACATCGAGCTGGGTACCCTTGGCCATCGACGCGACTTGCGGAGATGGACGAACAGCGTGTAATGTTTCGCGCAGCTGCATGTAATCGCGTCAGCTGTAGGACGCACGCGACGGCTTGCAGAGGATCGTTTATTCATTTGTCGCATGGCAACCAATCAGTCTCTGACACTAGGAGAGGAAAAAAGAGCCATCAGCATGCGAAAGTTTTGAATGTCATTGGGAGACCTAGCCCTGCTCACGCCATACTACGTCCGCCATGCGCTGGAGATCCGTCCGGGGATCCCAGTAGCAGGTTAAAGTTATTCCGATGTTCGATGCTCATTGCACAATCTGTGCAAACTCTCACCAGGGTGGATACGCGAAGACGAAATGGGACATCATCGCCGCAATCAGTGTCTTGGATGGAAATGAGCCATGGAGATTTAGAGGGAAAAAACAAACGCTGAAATGAACGAAAACGAAACGACGGTCGCAGCGCAGCAACAACATCACAACAACAGCAACAACAACGGCGAAAAGCTTCCGACCTCGTAGACTGCGGCAGAGAACTTGGCCTCAAACCGGACACAATTCCGCGTCATCCTATTCAGTCACGGTTCGGTCATGGTCTCCTCTTCATGGCCAGAAGCGGACCCAACACCAACCGAAGTTCAATGTGGGATTCAATTCCCTAGTTCCGTATCACGTTGGACGCTGCAGTCAAGTGGGAACATCTGCTCACGGTCAAGGCTGGACTTG